CTGTTGACTGAGAAGTAGAACCCAGGTCCATTACTTTTAGTTAAACCACAATGTCTCTCTCTCCCTGTCTCATTCATTGAGCATTAAACATATGCCAGGGAATGTACATTGTGGTAGAGATCTGGAAATAAAAGACTAGACCCTTCTAAAACTCTGTCGGGGTTGGAGAGGAGGAGCGGTAGGGGTTGACAGCCCAGCACTCTGAGATGGTAGCAGTACAAAGGAATACAGTACCTAATTTAGCGTTGAGAAGGGAGGGTCGACAAGGGTTTTTTGGGAAAATATTAAGAGTGGGAAAGGCAAAGAAAGTGAGGAAGGACTGTGGGAGCAGCCTATGCAAAGGCTGCTATATGAGAACATGTCATATTTGCGAAATTGCAACTAGATAAGTGTTGTTGTTGACATATAGTAAGAAATGAAGTTGGAGAGGGGTAGGTGGGCCAGGTTAGGAAAGGACCTTTATGACTTTTCTAAAAAAGAGTTTAGATTTTATCTTTACGGAAGAGTGGGAAATCCCTGAAAGGGCTTTCTGCTTTTAATAAAAGTAGCATACTCCTAATATTCACAGAAAAGTGACAAATTAAGGTCCCTTAACTCCTCATTCCTACTTACCAATGATAACTACTGTTAAAGTTCCTTGTAAATTTTTCCAAAATTGTATGCCTTAATTTTTGTATTCACAAACATCTGTGAGTGTATACATATATATCTTTAAACAAAACACACAGTTGATATATAGTAAAATGTATTGTTCTCCAACTTACTCTCATGTGATATTTCTTGAATATTTTTCCATATCAGCACACACAAATCTATGACATTCTTTAATAACCTCATAACATTCCATTGTGTAGTTATACCATAATTTTTAAATCATTCCTCTATTGGTAGACAACTAGATAGTTTTTAGATTTTTTATTTTGCATACAATGTTTCAGTGAACATGCTTGTGCATATATCTTTATATACTTGTGCAACTATACCTGTAGCTTAATTTCTTAGTAATTGAATTACTGAGTATATGTACATTTTAGATTTTTTTTTTTTTTTTTTGCGGTACACGGGCCTCTCACTGTTGTGGCCTCTCCCGTTGTGGAGCACAGGCTCCGGATGCGCAGGCTCAGCGGCCATGGCTCACGCTCTGCGGCATGTGGGATCTTCCCGGACCGGGGCTTGAACTGGTGTCCCCTGCATCGGCAGGCGGACTCTCAACCACTGCGCCACCAGGGAAGCCCTAGATTTTTTTCGTCAAAAAAATCATTCCAATTTAATGCACACCTGCCCAAAGTGTGTGAAGTTATATTAAGGATTATTTTGAATTTTCTGTTAGATTCTTCATCCAACAAATAATTACTGAGTACCTACTGTGTACCAAGCACTGTGGTGGGTAACAGGGAAAGTGTTCAAGGCAGATGGGATCTCTGCTCTTATGCAGCCCAGAGTTTAAACCACAGAAAGTCTGCAGGTATTTTGTTTGGTCTCTACAGTTTTTATTATTATTTTTTAATTGAATTAATTTCCAGTTTCTTTTTAAACCCTGCAACATTTTGTTTTCAAGGAACTATGAATCTCTTGTAGAGATAATGCTCTCTGAAATGCAGGCTTAAAACATAGAAGGCACCTAACTGGATGATGATGGTGATATTGCTCTTTCCTGGATTGTAAGTCCTTTTAAGGCAGGGTCTCTCTTTGTACTAAATTTTGGAAGGAACGTTAAAAGCCACATGGTCCACCAATGCACCCTTTGTTTGAATCTCTCCAGCATGTCCAACCTGTATTTGAATACTTCAGTTTGGCGGGAAGATACCTTCTGTTCAGCCCTTTCCAACTTTGTGCAGTTCTCTCTGCTTAGTAGAACAATACAATAGCCAGGTGTTCCTTTAAAAATGAAAGATCATATTACCCTTGTGCTCAGAATCTCCAGTGGCTCCTCATTTACTCAGAATAAACCCTGAAGTCCTTCGGCACCTGACTTACAAGGTCTGTGTGATGTGGCAGCTTGTTACCTCGCTGACTTCATCTCCCATTGTTCTCCTCTTGGCTTTACCATACTGGTCCCCTTGCTGTACCTTAAATGTGCCATGCATTTCTACTCTTGGGCCTCTGTCCTCATTTTTCCATTTGTGTTGAATGTTCTTCCCAAATAACTGCAATGGCTAGGTTCCTCAGTGTTATAGGGAGGCCTATGCTTCTTATCTGTTTAAAATTACACCCTGTCTTCTGCAAACCTCTTCCCCACCCATGTGCCTTATCTCTGTTCTTTTTCCCCCTACTGTTATCTTTTAACATATATTATTTACATATTACTTGTATTATCATTTGTTTTCCTTACTGGAGTATAAGCTATACAAGGGAGGAATTTTGGTCTTTTACTTACTGATGTATCCCAGACATAAGGAATAGTGCCTGGCACACAGTTGGTCCTTAATAAACATTTCTTGAGTAAATGAATGAATTAGAGTTTGCAGTCCCTGGTCAGCAGTTTGTTTTTTTATTGTTCTATTAATTTATTATACAACAGTATTATTTTATGAGAAATTACTATTAATTATATATTCTATTATATTAATTAGATAGTAAATACATTTATAGTGCTTATATGCAAAATACTATTTTAAGCACTTTATGCTTAATCCTGACAATAACTCTATGAAGTAGAAACTGTTACTATCTATCTTTTAGAGACAAACTGAGGCCAAACTTACCCAAAGTCATAGCTAGTAAAGGGGAGGAACCAGGGTTCACATTTAAGCAGTCGTTTAGGTACCTGAATTTGCTCTCAATTATGACACCATGCTGCTCTTCTTATTTGAAGGAAATTAGCCTATTATTATGTTGTTTTGCAGATCACTTTTCCCTGTTTATAATTTTCCATCTTAGTTTTGTGGTATTTTTTGCCTTCAAAATAGTTAATACTTAGGTAGTAAAAATAATCTAGTAATATTTTTCTTTGAGGCTGTTTATTTTTTAGCAGGGCCTTCTTGACTATAAGATTTAAAAAATAAATTTACCTTTTTTTTCCCTTAGTTCTGATTTGTAAAAGAAGCTTAAAGTAGTCATATATATATTTTATATCATCTTGACAGCATTGTGGAGATTTTGTTTGTAAGAGACAAAGCTAAAACCTGGAACAATGGTTAGGAACCAAGTATAGTTGGCCCTCCGTATCCGTGGTTCCACAGCTGCAGAGTCAACCAATCTTTGATCGAAAACATTTGAAAAAAGAAATTCCAGAAAGTTCCCCAAACTTGAATTTGCCAGGAATGCTGGCAACTATTTATATATCATTTGCATTGCATTTATAACTGTTCATATACCATTTACATTTTATTAGGTGTTATAGTAATCTAGAGATGATTTAAAGTATGTGGGAAGAGGTGCACAGGTTATAGGCAACTACTATGCTATTTTATGAGACTTGAGCGTACGTGGGTTTTGGTATCTGTGGGAATCCCCTATGGATACTGAGTAATGAGGAAGGACTATGCTAATTCAAGTAAGAAATAATTGAGAACAGGCTGTGGGGATAGACAGGAAAAGATTGATTTCAAGAAATATTTAGGTGGACACAAAGCACCAAGCTGATCTCCCTGTGCTACGCATCTGCTTCCCACTAGCTATCTATTTTACATTTGGTAGTGTGTATATGCTTGTAATCTCTATATGGCAGTTGCCTCTCGATGAGAACCAGTTCTTTCTGGTACATTTACCAAATGCATTTCATTTTTGAAAAGTAGAAATTAATTACGTGCTCCATGAGCTGAAGGAAGGGAGGTCAATTTATTTCGAAATGGTAGAATTTACATGGAAAAATTCAGCCAAAAGAAGTAAGAAATAGGTATTGTAGGGTTACATTCAAGGTCTACAGTTGGTTCTACACGATGTTCATGTCTTTATTTTTACAGCATTCTTTTTTTTCAGATTTTAAAAATTTTATGTTGCACATAATAGAGTTATTTCAAAGTTATTGAGAACTGTTAGATGTGGTGATATAAAATAAAAATTCTTTCCTTCAAAAGAAAAGAAAAAAAAATATTTAGAAGGGAAAATAATGCAGGTCTTTGTGACTGATAGCTGTGAGTCAAAGGAAGGACTTCAGGGTTTAGTCCCAAGTTTCTGGTTGTGACAGTTTGGAGAAGGAGTAATACATACTCCTTGTGGTGCCATTTATTGGTTGGATGGATGAATTGATGGAAGTCAGGTAAAACAGGAAGGAACATGTTTGGAAGATAAAATGACATTCAGTTCTGGATCTGTTGAATTCAGGATGCCAAATGAAAATCTCATTCTCAGTGCTCGTTAGGCAAGCTCAGTAGGCAGTTTGATAAATGACTTTAATAGTAGTTTAATAAAGTAGTAGTTTATTAAGTTACTTTAATAGTAGTTTAATAAAGAACACTGGGCTGCTAAATTTAAGGCAATGAGGTAGATGGCAGGTAGAAGCCGTATGGGTGCATGAGCTACTCTCCTGCCGTGTTCAGAATTACATCATTGGATGCAATAGGATTGCTTGGAAAGAAATTTAAAGACTGTAAAAAGATTGGGTGTGATGTGTATGATGTGTTTGTAGCTGTATTCCTCATCACTCAGAAAAACTCAGATATTTTAAAACAAGGAAGGACTTTTGGAGGTCACCTAATTTTAGCTCTATCAATTTATAATTTCTGAATACTTTGTTACTACTTCTGCTTGCTTTTTTCTCCTCTCCTTTTCGGTTACTTCTGTCTTCCCACTTTTGTTTTTGTTGTTGCCTTTCTCTTTTTCACTTTTGACTTCCTTCCTTTGTTGCTTAGGCCTTAAAAAGGTACTGCTTAATTGATCAGAGACATTAAAAGAGTTTTCCAGCTTCCACTGTAGGGAAGAACTTTGGGGGCAGGGCTATAGTGATAACCAAATGTAGCAGCCATAACTATCCTTGGTTTTTTGCTACTCAAAGAAATGCTTCATAGATTCCTCCTGGCGCTCCATGTCATAAACACTGCTTTTAAACTTTGCTTTAGGAACTGCAACCATGAATGAAGAAAATATAGATGGAACAAACGGATGCAGTAAAGTCCGAACTGGTACTCAGAATGAAGCAGCATTACTTGCTTTGATGGAAAAGACTGGATACAACATGGTTCAAGAAAATGGGCAAAGGAAGTTTGGTGGTCCACCTCCAGGTGTGAATTTGTTTATGTTCAAAAAATTGAATCTTTAATGTAGTCATTTACATCAGGTATATCTCCACAAGTATCCCAAACAACAGCTCTTTCCTTGTAACCACTTTAAGACATCAGCAATCATTTTTACTGTTGGGAGGGAAAAGAGGTAGATTATATGTGTCATGCATGTCTTTCCCTTACATTTTTTAACTCTCCTCTTGGTTTAAGAAGCAGTTGAGAAAGAAGTCAGGATTAGGTCAGTCGGGAAAGGGTACTCTAGCTATGAAAGGGGAGGTCATTTGGGGAGGAATTTGAGAGTAATGAGTAGAGGAGTGCTGTTTATACTAGATGCAAACAGGTTATTGGATATAATGTTTTGCCTTTCTACCAATAGCCAGTACAATTTCCTTGCTCAAACCCTCCAATTAACTTTGTCAGACTTTAAAGAAAATCTTGGCCTCTGACTGCATTGATGTCAGACTTTAAAGAAAATCTTGGCCTCTGACTGCATTTTACTCCTCCCTCAAGTATGCATTTCCTATACAGACCTGCATGCTTTGGTTGTTCTAATATAACTAATATAAAAAGCACTTGCTTTTCTTTTTTCTGATATATCCTCAAGGCTCATTCCCTCATTTCATTCAGGCTTTATTTTTCTCCATAGCACTTATTACTCATTGTCTCCTTTCTCTATTGAATATAAGCTTCATGAGGGAAGGGGGCTTCTAGTTTGTTCACTGTTGTATCCCCAACACCTGTAATAGTGCATAGCATATAGAAGGCTCACAGTAAATTTGTGGCATGAATTACTGAATAGTGAACATAAATATCTTATTAGAATTTATTTGTTGATTTGTTTTTGTCTTTCAGGTTGGGAAGGTCCACCTCCACCTAGAGGCTGTGAAGTTTTTGTAGGAAAAATACCTCGTGATATGTATGAAGATGAGTTAGTTCCTGTGTTTGAAAGAGCTGGGAAGATATATGAATTTCGACTTATGATGGAATTTAGTGGTGAAAATCGAGGTTATGCTTTTGTGATGTATACTACAAAAGAAGAAGCCCAGTTAGCCATCAGAATTCTTAATAATTATGAGATTCGACCAGGGAAGTTTATTGGTGTGTGTGTAAGCTTGGATAATTGCAGATTATTTATTGGAGCTATTCCAAAGGAAAAGAAGAAGGAAGAAATCTTGGATGAAATGAAGAAAGTTACAGAAGGAGTTGTAGATGTCATTGTTTACCCAAGCGCAACTGACAAGACCAAAAATCGCGGTTTTGCATTTGTTGAATATGAATCTCACAGAGCTGCTGCTATGGCTAGGAGAAAACTAATTCCAGGTAAACTTATCCTTTTTCAAAGGTTATTTTTCTTTGTTAACCTTACTATACATATGGACAGATGACAGTACCTCATAGATCAATTTATGAAAATATGTAGTGCCCTTAAAGAGGAATGGAGATTGTTTAAGGAAGTAAAATAAATCAAGTGATTCCAAAAGACATGAAGCTGGTCTTATGAGTCATTATTTATAATAATTTACTGATTTACTAAATGTATACATTTTAATTTAGCTGTTAATTGTTGTTTGATAAAAATACAAAGGACAGTACCTAATTCTTCAAATAGAGGTCCATCTTTGAAGTGTTTTTGTTCTTATGACTCTTAAAATTAATTTCACCATAAGTTCTGGCTAGGTTTGCCTTAGTAAAAACTATTTTGTGAGTAGGAAACTAATGCTGACCAAATATATTTACATGTATTTGAGTTTCTTCTTCTTTAGAGAAACAGTTTTACTTAATTTTGACTTTTATTTGTTTTAATTGTCTTCAAATTAATTTATTCTTTTTTACAGGAACCTTCCAACTGTGGGGCCATACCATTCAGGTAGATTGGGCTGACCCAGAGAAAGAGGTTGATGAGGAAACCATGCAGAGAGTTAAAGTTCTCTATGTACGAAATTTAATGATCTCAACTACAGAGGAAACAATTAAAGTAGAATTCAGTAAATTCAAACCTGGTGCAGTTGAACGAGTAAAGAAACTTAGAGATTATGCTTTTGTTCACTTTTTCAACCGAGAAGATGCAGTGGCTGCTATGTCTGTTATGAATGGAAAATGCATTGATGGAGCACGTATTGAGGTAACACTGGCAAAACCTGTAATTAAAGAAAACACTTGGAGACAGCATCTTAATGGTCAGATTAGCCCCAATTCGGAAAACCTGATTGTGTTTGCTAACAAAGAAGAGAGCCACCCCAAAACTCTAGGCAAGCCACCAACTCTTCCAGCTCGTCTCAATGGCCAGCATAGCCCAGGCCCCCCTGAAATTGAAAGATGCACTTATCCACTTTTTCCTGGAACAAAGCTTACTCCAATTAGTATGTATTCTTTAAAATCCAGTCATTTCAATTCTGCAGTAATGCATTTGGATTATTACTGCAACAAAAATAATTGGGCACCACCAGAATATTATTTATATTCAACAACAAGTCAAGATGGGAAAGTACTCTTGATATATAAAATCATTATTCCTGCTATTGCAAATGGATCCCAGAGTTACTTCATGCCAGACAAACTCTGTACTACTCTGGAAGATGCAAAGGAATTGGCAGCCCAGTTTACATTACTTCATTTGGGTAAGTTTAAAAGTACTTTAAACAATATTGTAGAATATGAAATTAGGAAGTATTATTATAGATTATTTATAAATTCATTTCTTTTGAACTCAACATTAGTGGTGAGTATTTAACATAAATTTTACCTCAGTTTTGTGAATTCATGGTTAATTTTGTTGAGACTTTTCTTTTGTATAAACTTCCTATATTTAGCTATTTAAACATTACTTACTTGGGGGGGATCATTTAGTTTTGATTTACTTTAGAGTTCATGATCCTGTTTCATCAATTTACTGTTTTTGTAATGACTAATCCTCATTTGAAATGATTTCTATATAAGTTACAAGATTTGTTACTTAAACCAATTTATAAGAGTGTTACTGCATCTTTGGTGAAGTCTACACAATAATCTTTTTTTGAGGGCAGGGATAGGGAGTTGTTAAAATCAGAGGCATTTCAGATGGTCATGTGTAGACACAACGTTATGCTCATCAATCTGGAAATCTGTCATTATTACTCAAGAAAGACAAAAAGCATCATTAAGAGATGTTTATGACCATTCTCTTTAATTTCATGCTTTAAAAAAAGTAAGTTTCTCTAAAGCATTTGAGGGATAATTAAGACAAGCTTTGGGCCATATGCTAACTAAATATTTGGCATTGTGAAGGAGGAGATGTAATATCACTCTGGTATTTTCCTACTGCCTGTTTGTTACTGTTTGTTACTCTACCCTCCCCCCTCCCCCACACCAGTTTGTCTCATTTTTTAATGCAGCTGTAGATTTCAGTTGGTTATTACTTCATGCTCAAAATGATATTCATTAGAAGAATATTGGCTTATTGAAAAGTCCAATCGAAAGAAAAGGTCTCCTACTAAGGATTATAATTGTCCTTGATTATAATTCTGAAAGCCATAGCTTAAATTGATATATATATATATATATATATATGGTTGCAGAATCATACTACTGAAGCTTATATCTATTTAAAATTGATATTCTCAAATTTGGTAAGAAAAGGAAATTGAAAAGGAAAAACATTGTCAAAAGGGAGAGTAATTTCTATACACTGTATAGACTTGCTTATCCATCATGGCCACTCCCATGGTATTATGATGAATATTTTTAGGAGATTCTGATTAGGAGGTGGAGTCAGAATTTTAGAGCTGAAGGGAGGGTTCCCTACAAGACACTTTTCAGCAGTATCCTCAATTATTAGTTTGGAATTTGGGAACTTTACAATCATCTAAGTTAATAAAGTCTTAGGTATGATTTCTGTTAATTTACAAAATAGAAATCCTTCCATTTTTCTTTTAATAAAGACAACTGAGTTAAAGATAAAATTAGGTGGATAGCAAATGATTAACGTTAGAGTTCTTAGAGCAAATTGGATTAAATTATTCTTTTGGAATGGAGTATTAGGCATTCAGTTGCTGAGCAAGATACTTGCGTCTGTTTTAACATGGTAATGCTGAAACATTTTATTTCTATATCCATTCATTTCCCTTACAAAGTTAACTTAAATTTCCAAGATTCTTAAAACTGTTTTTAGTTTGTCAGATTTTCTATTTAAACATGGTTTACCCATCTGCTTTTTTTTTTTTTTTTTTTTTTTTTGCCTCTCACTGTTGTGGCTTCTCCCGCTAAGGAGCACAGGCTCCGGACACGCAGGCTCAGCGGCCATGGCTCACGGGCCCAGCCTCTCCGCGGCATGTGGGATCCTCCCAGACCGGGGCACGAACCCATGTCTCCTGCATCAGCAGGCGGACTCTCAACCACTGCACCACCAGGGAAGCCCCTACCCATCTGCTTTTAATTCAGTTTTTAAGATGTTTTTTACTTGAGTCGTAGGGCCATAGTTAACTCCTATTCACCTGTAGTTCCCAAAGAAAATCCCTGTTCAGTTATAGCATTTCCAACTTGATTATGTTCATTAGGGATACAGTTAGCTTCAAGAATTGAAATTCTTAGAGGGCACAGACAGTTTGCTTTAGTCATTCTATTTCAGATTTTATAAACTTTATATCAAAACTGCTTCTAATAAAAAATTGAACAATTTGTGTTTTATATATTTTTTCAGTTTTAGTTCATCATCAGAGGCAAAAGCTAAGATCCAAATATAAGCCAAAAATTTCAATTAAATACTAGGGCTTGTAAACACAAGGCTCGAGGCCTTGTCTACAGACAGTACCACAAAAATCCTTATTGTGATTGACTAGAAATATGAGTGAAGCTTGAGTTAAGAGGCAATTAAGCAGGAAAAGAGAGAATTCAAGGAAGTGGAAGAATCAAAGATCAGGGGTCTAGGAATCTTTGATAAGAAAGCAAATATCAGATCTTCAGAGGTCATTAAAGTAGGGGCAGGAGCTGTAGACAGCCAGGAAGTTACATATTGCCACAGGGCAGGTTAAGAATAGATTGAATATTGTTGGCAGTGTTTGGGCTTACCTTTTCCTTTTGTTAATATTGGATCCTCTGGGCTTTAAAGAGCTGATGCCTTTTTATGTGCAGTTTCCTTTAGATAAAGGTTGTAGGGTTTTGCTGGATGGCTCAGGGTTGCGATCATTTGGTGGTAGTGATGTGTTTTTAGAGGGGAAGGGATACTCTGTTACTGATATATCCTGCATGTTTCAAGCATTGGATTGTTTTGAGATCTTGAGAGGTTGCTACTGGTTCCTAGAGTCCCTTAAATGCAGTTCCATTAGATCATCCTTTGCGTCTGTTTTCTTGAAGAATTTGAATCTAATTTTCTAGATAGTGAATTTAACTGCTATTTTAAGATGTTTTCTTTGGGTGTAGTTTTTTTTTTTTTTTTTTTAATTTGCTTTGACACTCTTCTATTACCCTTTCAGTTTTGATGCTATTTCGAGTATTACTATCAGATCTTACCTTAATGATCTTTTGCTATTATATGTGATATAAACAGTCATTTACCTTTTTATTTCAGAGGTCTTTAAGGATGTGCTTTTACTATCCACATTGTTTTGGCATTACCACGCCCATTTTTCAAGTCTGAAAAATAAAAGAGAAAATAATTAGACTTTATTTAGTTAAATAACAATCATTGGTGTTGAGGAAAATAGAAGTTTTTTCCAGGGGAGAGCAGGCATCTATATAACTAGTAAAGCCAGAGTACTTCTGGTGACCATTTAGTGCTCTTACTAGAATCCCAAATGTTCTCATTGCATAGTACCTTACAATAAATTTTAAAAATATTTTGGGTTTCTTTTTTTGGTTCCATTTATAGCGAGCTTTATTTTAAGCAAAATATTTTAAGAAAAGCTGAAAACTGGGGTTAATGCCAAAATTATCCCCCTGACACACACCTTTTTTTACTTCAAAGATAGAGACTGTCTCCATCTCCAAAATGTCAGAGAATAACCTCCCTAACCTCACTGGGAACTCGGCACCCAACCAGCAGTGTAAGAAATTACCTATCACCTGGTTATTTTAGGAAGCTGTAATAAATAGGATACTAACTGGGTTTAATGGGTAGAGTACAGACTTGGGGGCTAGGTGATAGGTTCTATACTAAATATTTGATGTATGGAAACATCTTAGGTCATTCAGTATCACATCTTTTTAAATAAGCCTTTTCTATCTCATAATTTTGTATCTGTTTAATAATGGATCAGACTATCAGTATGAATAATCCTGCTTTTGCTAAAACTTTGTATCTGTTTTGAATCTGGGCCTTCTAATATTGCCACTGCTTTCCCCTGGAGGATTCTTCACCATCTAGGAGATCAAAATCAAGGAGATAAAGGAAAGTCTTAGTTTTGAAGAAGAAAGTCTTGGAAAATATTTAGTGGAAGGAGTGAGGTAGCCTCAGTGTGTGTTCATAATTCATTTTATTAAATAATTTATTAACAAATAACTGTAGGCAAGGCATTTCTTGTCTCATTTCTGTGTTTGTGTAATCCTGATGCAAGTGGTAGTTTTTTACTTGAATGACCAGCTAAAACTTTTAAAACAGAGGTGAAGAACCCCTGTCACAAACGAGCTTGTGCCATTGATTTAATTTCATCTGACTTTTGTACTGTTGTTTTGGCCATGACTGATAAAATTTAATTAAAGAACAAATTTGTTTTGAATGCCTCTCATGTATTAATTGTACTTTCCTAAGTAATCTGGAGCTAAAGATAAATAAAACATTGTTTTGGCTCTTAAGGAGTCACAGTCTGCTGAAGAAGGCAGAGACACAAACTCTAAGCATAGGTTATTTGGGGAATACAGAGGAAGGGGACGCCTCCCACCTGATCTTGGTTGTAAATCTTGAGGAGAGCTTATGGGAAGAAAGGGGCACTATATGAGCAAACACCTATTAGAAAAACAGCGTGATGGTGACTTAATGGCAAACATTTCTGTATAGCATTTGCTTTGGTGACTTCAGTGAGATTTTAAGAATTAGAAATTGAGAAGATGTGGACTTTTAGTTAACTGAAATTTTATCAGTCCTGCTTTTTGAGACTTTGAAGATTTTTTTTTTTAGTACAACTGTGTTGACTGTGCTTGCTTCTCTAAGTAATTTTTTTCTTAGATGAATCCATTCTGATTTGTGTGGACCATTTTATATGTGAATATTCATCTTTTTTATATCTTCTGTACTTTCTTCAGTATTCATTTTGTGTCTGACTTGCATATTGCTTCTCATATTTTGACTTTGTAATAACAAACATCATTTTAGAAACTTTAATTTTTTCTCATCATTGAGAGCTAAAATATTTAATATATATATATTCTAAGCATGATAGCCATTGTGTTTGCTATCCCTTTAATATCATTTAAAGATTAGGGGATTAGGTTTTGATTTCTGTTATCACTTGTAAGTTGGTTGAAAGTTATTGAAATAGAAGACACAGCAGGATGAAGGTATACTATTCTGAGAAGCTTTAATCTGAAAAATAACTGGTGCTTTTTTCTTATGAGCTATCATTATTTACAGATTGATGGGCAGAAATGCAAAAATAAAATTTTGATTTAAAAAATTTGCCAATAAATTGCTTTGAAACAAAGAGAAACC